ACTGATACCAGCCTGGAACACAATTCAAGAAAAAGGCCAAGCTTAAAAGACTGATCATAATTACAGCTCACGCTCAGATCCGACCAAGAGATCTTTACAAAGCAACTCGACTCGTTCATGTGGTGTAAACTTCTCATTCACCGCTTTAACGCAGGACAATAGTTTCACAACTCAATCAGCATTAAATCTTTTCAACCTCAATCTACCCAGAGCCAAAAGATCTGTCTGAATGACATGTCAAATGACCAATCAGAACGGATCTTGAAGTCATTAAAGAGACGGTTCACCCAAAATGCAAATTGTCAATTTAACCTTGTTGTTTGCAGAACTAAAAAAAAACATATTTTGAAGAATGTTGATAACCAATTTGACAGCTTTTCTCAAAGTATCTTCTTTTATGTTCTGTAGTAAAAATATGGAAGACTATACACTTCGCTCTATCCTAGTTACCTTCTATTAGATATTTTAACATTTCCCAAAAATTTGCTGTCTTTCATCTGTCAGACTAATAAATCTAGTTATTAGTTCTCCATTGAAAACAGCTCATAAAACTCATGTTCATTTCCAGGTGGGCTGGTGCACTCTTGACTTCAGGAAAGTTGCGTGGCACCAGCCAATCAGATCGGAACTGGCCATCTCAGCCAGGTCTCGAGCACAAAATGCCTCAGGCGGTCAGTGCACAGACTGTGGGCGGTCTGTGGGTGGAACGTATGGGACTCACTTTCAGCTTGGCTGATCAGAGTGCAGTCATACTAAAGATCAGACAGAGGGAAGCGTCTCAGCACCTGTTAGTGTGACCGCCACAGTCGAGTGGCAAAAAGACAAGGGTCCAGAACAAGTGCATCCCCGTTTGGCGGCACAAACTTCTTGGATCAATCACCACCAACTAACCCTAAGCCACCTATAGTGGCCCCAAAAAGTATTTGGACACTTATACTACCGATCAAAAGTTCAGGTTTGGTAAGATTTTTAAATGTTTTTTAAATGAGTTTCTACATTTATTTGATCAGAAATAATTTGTTACAATTTGTGAAATATTTGTTGCAATTTAAAGTAATTGTTTTCCATATTAATATATTTGAAAATGTATTCCTGTGATGCAAAGCTGAACTTTCAGCAGCCATTACTCCGTTTTTCAGTGATCCTTCTGAAATCATTCTAATATGCTGGTAGTTAATTTTTATTATAATAGTTAATTTTGTGGAAACCATGACACATTTTTCAGGATTATTTGATGAATAGAAAGCTCAAAAGAACAGCATTTATTTTAAATAGAAATGTATTAATGTTGCAAAAGATTTCTGTCAATGTATTATCAATGATCAAATGATCTATTTAATGTAATATTGCGTAATTAAAAAAAAAAATCTTCCTGACCCCATACTTTTGACTGGATAACAAAACCTAAAAACCAAATAGCATCAGCAAACAAATGATGCTAGAGCTTTTCTCCCAACTAACTTTATTATTATCAGCCATATTCCACTTAATTTTCTCAAGTTCTTGTAACTATATATTTACTGCATTTACTTTTAAAACCTATAAAAACTTTTTGAGAATTGCTTTGCATGAAATTCAGTTCAGTTCAATTCAATGAGAGACTGTACATCAAAAGTACAAATAAACTCAATAAACAAATACATTTTCATCAAACTCCAAAACCTTATATGTAGATAAAACCCCAAAACTGTGAGAAACACGCAAACAGTGAAAGACAATCAAGCAAATTGCGAGTGTGTGGCGAAGAGCAGTGAGCTGGACAGTGGCCCCTGCAGACAGCACAAGGCAGCGTTTGTTATGTGAGTCCAGAAAGGCAGCGTATTGTCCTGACCTAAAATGTGCCGTAATCTCCTGAGCAGTCTCTCTAGCACCATATGTGTGTGTGCTGGCCTCCTCCTGCCCCCATCTCTCCTTTTTTCCCTCTTTCTCCCCCATTCTCTCCTGCCACTCAATGTGCCCCTCCTCCCTCTCTCTCTCACTCCGGAACCCAGGCTGTGCGCTCCTTTAACAGAATGGATTCATTTCATCTAA